CGAAGCAGTCTGGTCATTCTCCTCTGACATCTGACATCAGCAAGTCATTTTCACAGAAAGAACTACTCCACACTGGCTATTTTCTCATTTTTGCACCATTTTCTATAAACCCTAGAGATGGTTATGTAGGAAAATCTGAGTAAATTAACAGTTCCCGAAGCATTCACACCAGCCTAGCATCACCTTTTAAGTCTATGTTAACGAGCAGCTGAATAGGTGTGCTTAATAAAACGGCGAGCTGGTGAGCTAGTCAGTATTGCATTATTGATGAGCTACCCATTAGTACCTATTAATATCTTAACAATAACATAGGGCACATTGAATTTCTTTCCCGTCGATGCCTTTTATTCAGTCATCTATCCTCTGGGTTAATGCTGCTGTCAAACAGCACCTTTGTATTTACATGGTGATATATTAGATTTATAAATTTGGAATTAGATTTTATTATGTTTTGTTTTATGATATTTTAGTGATTATGGTTATATTCTAACACGGAGTGGAAAAATGTCTTTATTTTATTAAGTTATTTATGTAAAAATTAGACAGAGAACTTCTCTATTGCACCACTGCATTTTCCTTTTCAAATATAAACTTCAATTTAAAAAGACTTTTCATGTCTTAATGAACACCATTTCTCAAAGAGTTTTACTGCAGAAATGAATAGTCCACAGTTGCCACTGGCTCAGGATGAAATGTACCTGTTTTCCTAAAGGATGGTACCAATCTAACTCTTCGTCCCATTGCTTCAGTTTGCATGTTTTCCTCCATCTGTTCTAGTATCTGTATCTCTGTTTTGAAAAAAGATTTGTTTTGTTAAATATAATTGCAATTTTTGTGTGGTCCATACTTATAGCATATGAATATTCCAATTTAAAATCCTGGTTTTCACCTTCGGGGCTCTGTATGGTAATCACCTGCCTGCTTCACAGGGTTAGGGTCTTGCAGCCTGTGCTTGTTATCATCTCAAAATCCAGACTAAAAGCTAAAGTAATGAAGTCTTCGCAGCTCTAAGGACTCGTGAATGTGAAAACTTGTCTTGTTAAACCGGCATTTTTGTAGCTTTTTACTTTGTTTCTGTCTTATTTCAGTTGTTTTTAAATTCCTTTTGATGTCCTGGTGTTTTTTTTCTGACATACAGCATTTTGTGATTTATGTCTTGGAAACTGCTCAATGAATATAATTTACTTACTTCCTTAGTTACATGTAAATACTGCAATGTAATACGTCAGCCTTTTTTTTAACTGTTTCCTTGCTTCGCTCCTTCCTTCTTTGATATGTTTTCTTTGCAGCATGTAAGGAGTTTTAAAACATCTCACATTTTGCTTTTTGACTTAATTAATAAAATACAATTTCAACAAAGGAATTGTTCTTTGTAATAAAAAAGAAAAACATTTGAAGCCTTCTCCACAGCGTTATTTCTGGCCGCATTTTGGACCTTTTTTTCATCCTTTCTGTGTCTGGTAATTATTTATCAGTAACTAAATCACTGTAGCTCACGGCAATTGAAATGGCTTTTCAGCACAAGTGGCCAACTTTTTAAAAAATCTCATCAACACAAGAGGGTGTTTTTTTAGCATATTGTAACAAATGCGTTCTCTTTTACTAAAAGAGCCTTTTTAGGCTTGCGTTGAGCCCTTTTATTCTTGGATTCTCTTAACTTTTCAGAACTAGAAAAAACATCCTGGATGCAGTGAATGCGCAATGAGAGCACACCTCAGTATAGTCCACACGTCTTTCAGGCCATGGGCTCTTTTGAAAAACAAATTCCTCAACCTGGTGTGTCTACACACATGCAAATAAGGGCAGCCTGGGTGTTTTCCATCACCTGTGTGATCACCTTGTCATTTACATTCTTGGTTTGTTTCGGCCCATCACATTTGAGCCAGTGGTCAACAAGGTCAGCAGGCTAAAGCATTCTAGAAATACTTATGATGACATCTATATGTATGACTTGTATGCAAGCAACAAAGTCAAATGAGAAGAGGACTCCTCCATATATAGCTCCTGGTCCGTCATGCTGTTCTTTGATGCATTAGAAAGTGAGAATGACCGCCCTGGGGTTGATGGGTTTGAACACACAGCAAAATACATTCATACAGCTGCCAAATGCTATTATTTACATTAAGTGAGATGCATCATGGAAATGTAAAATATGAAAAACATTCTCCCTCAAACAACAAAGTAGATATTAAATGAAAAGCTTAAACATTCTATTTGTGAAAGACGAAAAGTATGTAATGGACCTAATGTGAAAACAAACCTCTTGGGGTAGTTTATCACACTGTTAATGTGTGAGGGTGAAAAACTAATTAGAATTGTTTGCCCCCGATTTGTTAATTGGTTGTTTTTTAAGACTTCTCCAAGTTTTAGAGCTAGAAACGTCAATGCAAACTTGCACACACGGTTGACCAAATTAGCTACATCCCCCCAAAAATGTGTCTAAAATACGGCATTGTTTGCAGTGTGTAAGTCAATATTTTGTATAGCCGTCTTTATTCTTCAACACAGCCTCTTCTTTGGATGTTGGCAGGATGTGGGGCTCGTGTTCCAGATGAGATAGAAGACAACGTTCTTTTAAACCGTGTTAAAAGTCATTGTGGTTTTGATTTGACGTATGTATATATTCTGTCGGTGACGTATGAAGGGGCGTCATTAATTCAAACCCTGATGCTATAAAAATCTGTGTATGCTTTGATGAAGTCGAAGATTAATTCCTGTCTGCGTACAGAGTGGTCTTCCCACGCGTGTATTCATTAAAATCAATTGTTTGACCAAGATCTTCTGGACCAATGGTTGTTTGTACTCTCCTTCCTCAATATTTGAACCTTAACACTGTCTTTTGTATTCTTCCCTGTTAATGTGATCCCACATTGCTTCAATAATATTGAGGTTCGGGCTCTGGGGAGGCCAATCCATGACTGTTAGTGTTCCACTGTTTTTCTATCCTGTTATGCTTTTTCTGCATATACTGTGTTTGTCATGTCATTGTCATGCTGACAAATGAAGCTTTTCAATCAGTTGCTTTCCAGATGGTATTTTTGTGTTAATAATTTCAATTTTGACAAGCTCTTCAGCACTCCTGGCTAAAATGCAGCCCTAAACCATGAGACAACCTCTGCCACATTTTACAGATGGCTGTAGACATCCCCAAGAGTTGGGAGTTTGCCTTGTAATCAGAAGGTTGCCAGTTCAAGCCCCAGCTCGGACAGTCTCGGTCGTTGTGTCCTTGGGCAAGACACTTTACCCGTTGCCTACTGGTGGTGGTCAGAGGGCCCGGCGGCGCCAGTGTCCAGCAGCCTTGCCTCTGTCAGTGCGCCCCAGGGTGGCTGTGGCTACAATGTAGCTGCCATCACCAGTGTGTGAGTGGGTGGATGACTGGATGTGTAAAGCGCTTTGGGGTCTTTAGGGACTAGTAAAGCGCTATACAAATACAGGCCATTTACCACCATTGCACCTCTCTCCTGACCTCCTCTGTCACCAATGATGACAGTTTAACCAAAATTTTCAGTTTGGGATTTACCACTAAATTTTCACTGCAGGTCTTGTGTGATCGTTAAAAATGGCTTCTTGACAGCCACCCTTATACTTAGACCTTTCTGATGAGGTTTCAGTGAACAGCAAATGAATCAACTGAAAGGCCAGATGACTCTCTTGGGTCCTTTGTCAGGTCTTTATTGGATTGTTTTCCTATTTCTTAAGGACACAGCTCTCAGATACTTTTCATCTGCCACCTCTTCTTTTGTCCTCTACTTGTCCATTTTCCTCAAATTTTTAAGTAAACACTGCACACCATGCTCAGATAGGCCACTTTTTGGTTAATAGCTCTTTGGGAATCGTTTTTTTTTATTGCAAAAATACTATTTTATTGCTGTAAACTGTGTTATCTTTGGCATTTTTTTACAGAAAGTAATGAAAACAAACTGTGTATTTTGGCTCTTTGCTAAATATGATAAGTTTAACATATGTTATATGTTATGTAATATGTTAAGTACCTCTTTCATGGTTGAATGATTCATAAGTCAGTGTTATGTACTGTAAAAAAAAACAAAAACAAACAAACAATGAAAAAAATCCTCTGAAAATTATCAGGTAAAAGGAGTGAATTGAAATATCCAAAGAAAAATTTAAAAGGCCCTTCATAAAGCCTGGAAATGTATTTCTCGGGACTGCATTGGGAAAATCACGCGGCACTCTGGCTTCTTGGAAGCATAATATGAAGAAATGAGGGGTAGCTCAAGACTTTTGCACAACACAATATAGTAATGGTTACACAGCATCTGCCCAACACCAGCATGTTAGCATTCCCACTGTTGGCATTCCAGGCTAGCATTAGCATTTAGATTGAGACTTTAATTTTCTGTCAGCACAGATTGGCTCTTGCGGTAGACTAATCTAAGGACATAAAACATTTCTATCACAACACTTGAAGGCATACCAATAAATCAGAGCTGACTTGTGCTATTGTCACATAACACTGCTAATATGCAAATGGAAGGATGACGAGGCTTCTCCTTAACAGCAAATTTGTTTATGGAAATTTGCATATGGCCAGGATCTTCCAGAGCTTCCTGATCACCGATCATTAGTTTAGTTAAATCATATTCTAAATCTCGCATGTTGTGCTTTGCCACAGCAGGCCCTGTATCCTATATTCTTAATTAGGCTCATTTTTGTTTTTTTGTTTTTTTTTGTAAAGAAAAGAAAAGAAAAGAAAAACAACTTGATTGCAGTTCTTACTAAGCAGCAAATAAATGACTGTAAGAAATTCATGTGCTGGAATTATTTATTTATTCAGCCTTGGTGTGATGCAAGTATCTCCCATGTCTAGGTTAATGTTGGTCAACAGTTAGTAGAATTGAAATCACAGTCAAGCTCTCTCTTCCTCAAGGTACCGCAGACATGGACGGATGCCCTGTCTCTCCCAACAATAACACTTTGCATACAGATTTCCATATATTCCACTCGTGCTGGGCGTGGGTCATTTAGATTTGTTCACTCACTCGACTCTCTCATTTCCAAACAATCACAACCCCATCTTCAGTCTGGCAGGATCTTATCTCTGTCTCCCTTTGTAGAGGACGAGGAGATGGCGATAAAGTGAGTTACTGCATATTTGATTATTCGGCCTTTACCATTTTCAGCAGGAAACAACTTACAGCAGCCATGTGGAAAATGCCAAAAGGCTTTCCATTCACTGCAAGTCTAACTTTGGACTGTGTCTATTTCTGAAGGGGTCTTGTATTGATAGGAGGTTGCTCTCAGGTGCTTGATGCATTTAACAAATCTTTGAGATGTCTTAAAAAGACGCTTTGCAGGTACGGTTTGCAGGCGGGGTGTTGTAATGTGGGGGGTCACAGACATTTGGGCTAGTGATAGATCTTAATGCTCTTTTCAAGGGTAGATTCTGTTGCTTTCCCACGGATCCACTTGGGGATGTTGAGACTTGGAGTGAGTCTGTGGACAAAGTCCTCAGCTGTAAAGGTGAGAGTCTCTTCTGATTCTGGATGATATATATTTGCTTGCATGTGCATGGTTCCCACTCGCTTACTCTGGTCTGTGACTTTTAGCCGGGCAGATAGCTTTCCGGGAGTTCCTGAAGTCAGAGTACAGCGAGGAGAATATACTGTTTTGGCTCGACTGCGAGGAGTACAAAAAGATTAAGACAGTCCCAGAGATGATCTCCTCCGCCAACCGGATCTACTCTGAGTTTGTCCAAACAGAAGCACCAAGACAGGTAAATAATCTGAGCATATAAAACAGGATTTTGCTGGAATTAAATTTTCATATTAATTTTTTAGCAGTTAGTAGATCTATAGTTGCATAGCATCTGCAATAAAACTGTGCATTTCATGGTGGTAAAATTGCAGAAATGTAAGCAGATTTCTGTGCAGACAGACAGCAGGTGATGATGGAAGGAACAGCTGTAATGTAGTTTTTGTATGACATTGCTTGATTCCAGATCAACATAGACTGCAGTACAAGAGAAAGCATTACAAATAACATCTCCAAGCCGACCCTGACTTCGTTTGATACAGCTCAGAAGCACATTTACAGTCTGTTGGCCAGGGATTGCTACCCGCGGTTCCTAAAATCTGACATCTATCAGGGACTCCTGAGGAGAAATGATTCAAGGTGACTGTATTAAAAATGACGGCCTCTCAGGCCGAGGCTCATGATGTCTTCAGCTCAATTCTGATCTGCTGTAGCACTCTTTGATTTCAGCATGGATAACAGGTTTATCCTATACAATCCAGATCCTTAGTCTAGTGGAGGTAGTTTTTTTTCTTAGTCTGTGTGATTTAGTAGCTTAAGTTGAATTTACAGCTTGTATTATACTTTATCCCTTAATTAAGTAAAAAAAAAAGTGCCTATAAGTCTTTTCTTTTGTTTTCTCCCCTCCTACATACAGTTAATAATGAAGATAATTCCTTTATTGTAAAGTATTATCAACGCTTTATATAACACTTCGTGCAAATATAAACTGTCTTACGCTCTGAGAACTTCCACTTTCTTATGCGAATAAATATTGTTACATTTCTGCCTCAGTTTTGTGTTCTATGGAACGTTTTCTTGTCTGCTTTGCATGCACTTCTTGAAATATCAAAAAACAAAACCTGACATCCGGGTGTGGTCTTTTTGTATGCAATGCAAATCACCTGGGTTACTGTAATGTGGTCATTTGTCACACAAACAGCAGATGGCAACAGAGTTCTTTACATCCTTCATTAAACAAGAAGCACAGCCTGGGGACAATGAAATACTTGAGACTTCCACTAAAGTTTGTGTGTCATCTGCTCGGCAGTTTTAAGAAGTCAGAGCGTTTACGTGAAGAGGAACTGCATGAAACAGGAGTCTGAATCTACATTTGCCTCATCAGACGTGGGCTTGTGGGTGTGCACTTTCAGTCACAACTAAGTTAGTTTCATGTTATCCCTAAAAAGTATTTTATATCCCTTCAAAATGTTGTGAGGCAGTACAGTTTTTAGAAAGTATGACACAGTTCTCCTCTGCGTTTGTTTATTTCTGGCAGGGACAGGGTGAACTTTACTAGCTCATATAATAGTCTATGCAAAAATAATGCAAATGGAAGAGAGCACACTAAAAAACAGGCTCTCTATTACTTTGTATTTAGACATAATGTTCAGGTCCACAAAAACAAGATAAAAAAGAGAAAATGTTCATATGAAGGTAATATGAATCAACATAATGAATGTCAAGTACAAAATACCACTTTTTCACTGATGTCCCTTTTTTTGTTTGGAAAGTGGATGTGGGCGCAGCATGGTTTCTCCGTGTGACTACTCAGTGGTGGATGGACATTTTTTTTTTCAGTTTCTGTTGGTGGTACTGAGTGTGAGGGCTGGCGGGGGGATTTATTTTAAGAGCTGTTTCAGATGTTTGAAAGACGGCGTTCTGTTTTGTGCAGACATATTGCCGCAACTTCCTCTTCTTTGAGACAACGCTGGTGGCTCTCACCTCTTTGTGGGAGGAAGACTAAGTTCACTGGGTTTGAAAAACAGGGTGTTTGCTCTACACACGCATTCATGAAGAAATGTGTAGCCGAGCAAAAACTGCAGGATACTGAGCGCAGGAAGTGATAAAGACAAAAACGAAAGGTTCTGAAGAAGGTTTGGGTTCTCACAGTCACAACATTTGGAGGAAATTCACGGATGGGTGTTGCGACCGGTAAAGAAAATGAGATAACAATAACAGTAATGTCACCACAGGCACATCTGCATTTTGACAGAAAGTGTTTCCTGTCACTCACAAGAAAAGTACAGACAAAGCACTGTATACCTCAGAAGAAACTGATTACATTTACCGCTACACATGAATGAGGTTATGTACAGCTCCTTTTTTTTTTCACAGACAAGACTGTTGTTAGTTGCTCTTTTCCCCTCCATGCATTCTTAACATGTTCTTAACATTTGTTAACTCTTCAGCAGCCAGCGGCTTTCAATTGATTTCACAACAGAGGGAATCTTGTGAAATCGTGCAAACATCTAATGTCAGCCTAATGTCATTATGGGTGCCATAAAGACATTAGGATTCATTCTTTTAGCTGAGAGCGTAGATTTACTGAAACTTTACAGCAAAACATTACAAGTGAGTGAGGTGAAAGAGTAGTATGACGCTGAAATCAAAAGCAGATGATGAAAACAAATGAAAAGTTATCGTTAAAAATCTCCAATAGCAGACTACCAGGTACAGTAAAGCAGCTGAGAGAGGCTTTTTGCTATAAGGCAGGCTGCTACATCAGTACTAAACTAAAATACTTCAGCAACTGCTGGGTGATTTTTTATTTTATTCATTTGTTGATGCTTGTTGATGATTTCCAGACAATAAATTCAACTCTATCTTTCTTCCCACGTTAGCTTTCTGTCTTAAGAACACACGAACGACAACAGATTAAAATTAGCTTGTAATGCTAACCTTTTCTTTTCTTTGGCGCTATCATTAGTCATATGAGCAAATAAATGAACTTAAAGTGTCCCAATGGCACGGCATGTTTTTCAATACTGCTAGACAGACTGCTGTGGGAACAGACAAGAGCCATATTTGTAGCATACTGAATAGCATTAGCATTGCAGTCATGCTAGGATGCTGAAAGTGGCACTCTTGGTTCAAACACCATGGGTCCTGATGACTGTCACTTTGTCTTTGCCCTTAAATGTGGCTTTTAAACAAGTGAAACAGCAAAGGGGTGTACCAAGAAACTAACCAACAGTGTTCATCTGTGAAGCACGCTTATATCTGCTGAGTCATTTTACAAGATAGCTACAAAAGGAAGACAGAGAGCAACGCTGACCCATTTTTTAGAGCAGCTAGAACCCTTAATAACTGGTTTCCAAGTAAAACGGATTTTAGAATCAATTAGTGAATGACAGCTGTAAGGAAACCTCAACTCTTCTCAGAGATGCAGGGTTAGCAGCTGTTTGGCCTTCTCCTTGTTGAGGATTTAGTTATACACTACAAGAACTATGATGCAATATGATGAGGCATAACTGGAGCATAAGTGGACAATCTTCATTCATACATTTTTTTGTACATTTCACAATAAAATCTCATCTATTTAATGATAATAATAAGCTAATAATAGAAAGTACTACTATTTAATATTTGACACAGCAAGTGGCTCCAGAAATTAAAACATACATGAATTGTCCAAAGAAAAAGAAAGAAAAACAGGAAACAACTGTTAAAGCAGTTCATAAAATGTTATTAAGGTCTCATAAAGGTGTAACCTAACTGACTAGTATTTCATTGTAAAGTTAACAGTCATTAAAAAGGGGGGGG